TCCCTCCAAGGTGTGAAGAAATCCTAGTGAGGGTATCGTTTTTTCGTCACATTCATCTCATCTAAACACAAACAACTGTAAACAAGCTGACCCACTTTAATTTGGTTTCCTATAAAATCTGAAAACCACTCAACAGTGACAATGACATGACTTGAGGCTCACTGAACACATTAACGTTATGTTACAGAACACATATGGATATAATTATGAAGCCGAAAATTTACAGGAACTAAATTTTTATGTCAAGAGGAAATAATCTCACAAAACACTTTAATGACAAATATGTTACAGGATAAACATTCTTGTCTTGTATACATGTATGGCGTTAACGATAAATATTTTAGCATTTAAATTTTTTAAAAGAAAATATTATGTGAAAGAAGACAAACATTTAGAAATAATATCTATATACCTAACAGAATTGTCAATCAAAAACGTGTCATTTGAAAAAGGACAGATTACTAAAACCACCGGCTACGAGAGCTTGCGATATTCCACATTGGATAACTGACGATAAAGCACGTATAAAAACACTCTAAAATCATTTCATGGATCCACTGGCAACGCCGAAGGAACACGGAAGATACAACAATACAACAAAAAAATCATGCCTTTATGTCTTCTGGAACAAAAACAAAACAAACAAACACTCACACACACACACACACACATCACATACACCCACGTCACACCCATCCACACACGTCACACCTCCCACATGCACCACACACTACACTCTCACTCTCTCACTCTCCTCTCTCATCACGCACACACTACTCTCTCTCTCTCTCTCTCTCTCTCTCTCTCTCTCACACACACACACACACACCTCCCCCCCACATCACGCACACACTCTCTCTCTCTCTCTCTCACACTCACACGCACACACTCTCCCACATCACGCACACTCTCTCTCTCTCTCTCTCTCTCTCTCTCTCTCTCTCTCTCTCTCTCTCTCTCTCTCTCTCTCTCTCTCTCTCTCTCTCTCTCTCTCTCTCTCTCTCTCAAACACACACACCACCAATCCCGCCCCGACACACAGCATACTAACGTGAAAGCCTAGCTGGATGTATGCACTGTACATTCAGTCCATTACTGTACATTTACAAATATAAAATGCCAACGCTAGAGAATAAACAATCAGTCTCCATTATCCAACAAAATAGTCCTAAGTGGGCTTAGAAAGCAAAATGTCAAAGCCATCTTCCATCCTCCATGTCAATTCGAACAATCCGACATGTAAAAGAACAACATGTCAGCGGCTATTGGGTATATATTGGAATACGCTACTTGCTTCACGACTTAATGACCCGCAGGTCTAAATACATAGAAGCCATTACATGTTATAACTGGCGTGTATACAAGCCTGGCTATATATAGGAAAGGTGCGGTTGTGGACGAGGTCGATAAGGTGGTATTGACCTGGTACCATTGACCTTACCACAGGGGCGTGTCACGCTAAGAAACAGACATATAGGTATATAGACCCTACCCTAGTACTATTTTTATATAGTACTAGGGTAGGGTATATATACCTATATGTCTGTCTAATGCTGTTTCTTAGCGTGACACGCCCCTGTGGACCTTACAACCTATAAGCCCTGTGTGGCTACGATTGCTATTTGGAGCGAGTAACTGAGTGAGTTTTATGCCGCTTTTAGAAATATTCCAGCAATATCACGGCGGGGGACACCAGAAATGGGCTTCACACACTGTACCCATGCGGGGAATCGAACCCTTCGGCGTGACAAACGAATGCCATTTCGAAACAAGCCTGTGCTGCTGTCGACGGCGGTAACAAGGATACGGTTTCAGCAGATTTCTTTTTCTGAGACTTCGATTACGTTGATGGGAAGGTTGTGGGTTAGGTGGCAAAAACAAAGAGACTACAAAATACAATGAATAATTCATCGAAGGACAGCAAAGACACTCAGTGTTGTAGACATCAAATTCCAGAGTCCATTCGTTTTGTACAGCTCTGCACCTTTCATTATTTACTGGACAAGGTTTCGGGTTACTTTTCCAATGACTGGGTGATTTATTTGTTAACAATACTCATGTAGCAATATTCAGCCGGGGAAAGTATGTCTGCGCACACTTGTGCCACAGAAACCAGATCTCCACGAGATTAACCAAAGAATTCCAAAATTCATTACAAGGACAATGGTGAGCCAGCAAATGCAATTTTACAATTGAGATAATAGTTTGAAATATCTAACAATGTCTAGCATCCTAATGGTTTTCACATTTATTGGAGCGTAATGGCAGTTCAGAAAGTTGCCATACCATTACGTATCACGTTCGTATTTATGTTGTCGAATGAGTTTAGATTTACGCCCGACGCTTGTAGCAATATTCAAGCAATATCATGGCAGGGGACACCAGAAATGGTGAGTGAGTGAGTTTAGTTTTACGCCGCCTGTAGCAATATTCCAGCAATATTGGACACGACAAAGGACACCAGAAATGGGTTTCAGACAGTATACCCAAGTTGAGGATCGAACCCGGCTCTTGGCGTGACAAGCGAACGCTTTAACCATTGGGCTACCCCATAGCCCCTTTAATATTGTTGAACCTGAAAAGCCAAGAATACTTCTGCATGGTTTTATATTTTAAAATATAATTCTATTATTTAAACCTCCAAGGAAGAAAATTGAAAAACTGCTTATGGGTATTTAAAACATCGTATCTTTGACCATCAATTTAGTTGCTTTTCATAAATTTATATTTCAAACAACTTCTTTTCTTTCTCTAGTCTCCACTCAGTATATGTTTGCTCCAAAACTACCCAGGCAAAGATTATGTTTACAAATGGTTGCAGGAATGAGTGAAAATTACATATACTTAAACATTACAACAATTCTGTTGATTACAGACATATCTTATCGGCATTCTTTTTTCACCCTAGTTTCCTACACTGCTTTGGTGCATATGATATGCCTGCCTAATTCATGGTACAAAACGGAAACAGTCAAGAGTTGAAACGAAGAAAAAAGATAACCATGAAAAACAGAACCAGTTCCTAATCAGTCAATTGATACAAAACGGAAACAGTCAAGAGTTGAAACGAAGAAAAAAGATAACCATGAAAAACAGAACCAGTTCCTAATCAGTCAATTGATACAAAACGGAAACAGTCAAGTGTTGAAACGAAGAAAAAAGATAACTATGAAAAACAGAACCAGTTCCTAATCAGTCAATTGATACATATATACACATAAAAATTGAAAAGACTCCTTTCTTCATGCCGTGCATTTTTGGAATATAATCTCCAAGCCATAGAAACTGCACATGGTAGCGATATCTAATTGTGGATATATATCACGTTCTATCCTACAAAATGAAATAGTAAATTAGATAAAATTCAAACATTAAACTTACAAATGATGCACATCTAGAATTGTGTCGGCCCTAGAAGATCCGGGTTAGAATTGTTCATCAGCGACCAATACTTGTAAACGTCGACTACAAAGAAACAAACCAGACTTGTGTCCAGTGACTCTCTTGTGAATTCTATATATTCCGAAAATGACTTTCTGGTCAGGGTATCGTTCCACAAAGCGATCGTAATGCTAAGATGAACGTAACTCCCATATTTTAACATAGACTTACGACTGTCGTAGCGCTAAGATGATCGTAACTCCCATACTTTAACATAGATTTACGACAGTCGTAGCGCTGAGATTATCGTAACTCCCATACTTTAACATAGACTTACGACAGTCGTAGCGCTGAGATGATCGTAACTCCCATACTTTAACATAGACTTACGACAGTCGTAGCGCTTAGGTGATCGTAACTCCCATACTTTAACATAGACTTGCGACAGTCGTAGCGCTAAGGTGATCGTAACTCCCATACTTTAACATAGACTTACGACAGTCGTAGCGCTAAGGTGATCGTAACTCCCATACTTTAACATAGACTTACGACAGTCGTAGCGCTAAGATGATCGTAACTCCCATACTTTAACATAGACTTACGACAGTCGTAGCACTACGATCGGTTTGTGGAACGGGCCCCAGTTCTATGTATTCCCAAGATGATGTTCTGACCAAACACGAAGCACCACAGTACCGTTAGACTGTACACTGTTCTGATTTTCAAGGGGCACGAGGTCTTTCTTCATTATACTTCATTGACCCTTGTCCACGGCGATCTTGTAACGGCTGTAGACGTTCTGTACCAAGATGGTGGGGATGATGGGGGAAAAGCAATATTCCAGCTATATGGCTGCGGTCTGTAAATAATCGAGTCTAGACCAGACAACCCAGTGATCAACAATATTAGCATTGATCTACGAAATTGGGATACGATGACACATGTCAAACAAGTCAGCGAGCCTTAACACCCGATCCCGTTAGTCGCCTCTTACGACAAGCATGGGTTACTGAAGATCAATTCTATCCCGGACCGTCACGGGTCAGAAAGTGATGGGCATGGATGAGGACGCTTGTGTCTCCAGAACTAGTGGGGCGGTGGGGTAGCCTGGTGGTTAAAACTACCGTTCATCACGCTGAAGACCCGGGTTCGATTCCCCACATGGGTACAATGTGTGAAGCCCATTTTTGGTGTCCCCCGCCGTGTTATTGGTGGTATATCGCTCAATGTGGCGTAAAACTACACTTACTCACTCACTCAGAAATAACGGTCGTTGAAGGTTGGATCATACTGAGGAACACAGTGTTAGACACCACTGTGTTAGACGCCACTGTGTCCTAACTGTGGCACAATATATGAGCAGGGATGCGTGTGGATGTTTTCAGTTTTCACGCCGTCATATATCAGAACGTGTCTTGACTGACCGCCATGTCCGAGCTGCTGTAACTCTTTGTGTCCTTCAGCGTTGAGGGGTTTAGCACTCCTTGGAAAAATTCCCCAAATAAAATCCACATATGATCTCTAGTTTGCCAGAGTCACTGTATTCACGAGTATCTCACAACTGTAGTCTGCCTGCCTGTCTATCTGTCCGTTCAACCGTCCGTATGTCTGTTTGTTGCCTATATAAAATAGAGAAACATCAATCCTGTAAGGGCGAAAATAGTGAAACACACAAAGAAAACCCCATCGAGAATTCTGTCCAGAGGAATTGTTCTGTTCTTTAACCAGTCGCTTTTCTTCCCAATTTGACGATCCGTTTTCGTTTCAGACGTGTCATCATCGATAGGCCTGATAACCACATCCTTGACACCATCCAGAGGTACAACCTGGGTTTTCTTTGCACGGCTCTCCTCGTTCTTGGTCCGGCGGTGGTACACGTTCTGTACTAAGATAGTAGCTGCGATTGCGAGAAAACCTTGGATTTGAACAGAAACAAGATAGACTGTGAGATTAGGAATAGTATCGGACGACGAAGGCATGTTGTCGTGGATCAAACTCAGGAACAATGCATTCGACACAAACACGGCCATGAGGAAGCCCATCTTCTCCCCAGAACTCGCTGGCAACAGGAACACGAATCCGTTCAGGAACGACAGTAGACACATTGGGAAAACCAGATTCAAGACGTGGAACATGTACTTTCTAGACAGGTGAATGTGGAATATGGCACTTTTGGAACTTACATCTGTCATATTTATTGTTGAGTACGTGACGTTGACAGTCTCCCACTCTCCATTGGCTTCTATATCTGTACCATGAGTAGAAAAGTACACATACGGATACAGGATGGTATCGTATTCATTCATTGGCATAAACTTCATTGAACAAATCTGGCTATCAAATGGATATCTTGAGAGATAGGTCTTACATATCACTGACATTGTCATTGTGTTCTTCCAGAATAGGGAGCCGTCGCTCTTCAGATGAATGGGCATTGTTGTCGTTAAGGGGCCATCACCAACAGCCTTGTTCAACAGGTGTACAGTTGGCTGCCATACCTTGTTAGCGGGTATCTCTATTTCGCTGATGTTGGAATAGTCGGATATATTCCAAGCCAGAGCTTTGTCTCTCCAAATCATAACCACAAAGGATCCAAGTGTGAGGACCTGGGTAGAATCAACTAGATCGTGCACCTGCAGCGGACCAAGTCTTAATACTACATCGATCATGTTTGTCTGAGGGTCCAGTGGGGGGATTTCAGGGTCAATCAGCGTCCCAATATACTTTTTTAATCTCTTCAGACTCTGAATCCTATCAGGTGGAACGTAGGAGGCTGTGAGTGCCTGTAAAGACGCAGCCCAAAAAAGGAGCACGAGAATTAGAACGCTCATCCCTAACGTTCCCAGCAGACTGGGTAGCTGAGTCTGCGGGACTTCTGTCAGCACGTTTCAAATATATCTGCAGTAACGGCCGTCAATTTGCCGTCATGCCATTAGTTGCTATGTACAAAGTACTCACGTGGTCCTCGCCCAAATGCATCATTAACGGTAAAAATCAATATTACTCTTCCAGATAACTTACTGAACAGGTATGTAGTTTACACTGCATTCGTGTCGTGATAAATAAGGTATTGTCTGATTCTCTTTCGTTCAAAGAAATCAATAACAGCCAAATTTTGCGAAAAACAGAAGAAAAAGACAATCAAAAATCGCGGACACGATGTGCCAAACTTCAGCAATACAGAGTACATAATGAGCAAAGTCAATATCGTTGACATAGTGACTTGGCATTAGAGACGGAAAACCTGCACCATTCATATTTTATTTCAGCTCTCCTGTGTCAGGTCATATGATGCACGTCCCTGTGTTGTATCCATGGTAATTGTAATTAATCGCTCAAGTGATGACATCATGAACCATCAATCAATACATGCAACAAATATACTCATGCCAATAATGGTTGTCACCCCCTTCAATGTTTTAATTGGAGAGGGGGTGGGGGGTGGATGTGTGTGTGTGTGGGGGGGTGGGGTGGTGTGTGGTTTGACAACCATTATTGGCATGAGTATATTATCAAGTTTTGTATCGGTTTTATCAATTATTGTGTCGGTTTTATCAAGTATTGTATCGGTTTTATCAAGTATTGCATCGGTTTTATCCAAAATAAAACAATTGAAGGGGGTGACAACCATTATTGGCATGAGTATATGAATAGCTGAATACATTTAATAAATACCAGTGGCAATATCAAGCTCGCTAGTTAGCAAGACTTGGGAGATAGATCTACCGAAGGTATACCAACATGTATTAGGTATTGCTGGAAAGCATGGAATCCTTAGTTTTCCAAAACCAATGCCAGAATTTACCGTTAGGCGACATGTTGTTTCACCATGATGACCATGCTTTCGTAGACAGAAATCCAGTGCTATATATTAAACTACCGCACAAAAGAAAGTTACCACTGACTTTATTTGACCACAAAATAGAAACAAGACATATGTGAGATCTATGATAATAATTTACGAACAGAAATCATTTTCCAAAAATTTGAATTAATAAATCATTGTAATGTTGGTCTTGCATTGTAATGTTTGTCAACATAAAAAATTGAAAAGTTTATTCAAAAAGTGTATAAAGAGTCAGATAATGAGACAGGAGTAGGGAACATTAGCGAGTTTGACCACCCTGGGCATCCATACGGATGACGTCAGCAGGAAGTCCAAGAGAGTCTGTTAAGAGAACCACAAAAGGTCTCCACACTTCATCGCTGTATCGTTGGGTATTCAGATGTCCTTGGATGATAAACAGGCTTGTTGTTCTCTGGCCACAATTGCCGCCCCATACCATGGCGACTCCTCCATCGAACTCGTGAACTTCTTGAATGCAGTATGGCGCAAGTCGCTCTCTTCTACGTCGAAACATTCGAACTCTCTCATCGTGTCTGGACCGACTGACGCTCACTCCCAGTCACATCGCTGTACCAGCCATACCAAGTCGTCGTAGGATTGTTCGCCTGATGACGGCATGTCCCAGTGCTGTCTGTCTCCCAGTCACATCGCTGTACCAGCCATACCAAGTCGTCGAAGGATTGTTCGCCTGATGATGGCATGTCCCAGTGCTGTCTGTCTCCCAGTCACATCGCTGTACCAGCCATACCAAGTCGTCGAAGGATTGTTCGCCTGATGATGGCATGTCCCAGTGCTGTCTGTCTCCCAGTCACATCGCTGTACCAGCCATACCAAGTCGTCGAAGGATTGTTCGCCTGATGATGGCATGTCCCAGTGCTGTCTGTCTCCCAGTCACATCGCTGTACCAGCCATACCAAGTCGTCGAAGTCGTCGAAGGTGATGATGGCGTGCTGTCTGTCTCCCAGTCACATCGATGTACCAGCCATGTCGTCGCCTGATGATGGCATGTCCCAGTGCTGTCTGTCTCCCAGTCACATCGCTGTACCAGCCATACCAAGTCGTCGAAGGATTGTTCGCCTGATGATGGCATGTCCCAGTGCTGTCTGTCTCCCAGTCACATCGCTGTACCAGCCATACCAAGTCGTCGAAGGATTGTTCGCCTGATGATGGCATGTCCCAGTGCTGTCTGTCTCCCAGTCACATCGCTGTACCAGCCACACCAAGCTGTGCTGTCTGTCTCCCACACATCGCTGTACCAGCCATACCAAGTCGTCGAAGGATTGTTCCCGCCTGATGGCCCCATGCCTGTCTCCCAGTCACATCGCTGTACCAGCCATACCAAGTCGTCGAAGGATTGTTCGCCTGATGATGGCATGTCCCAGTGCTGTCTGTCTCCCAGTCACATCGCTGTACCAGCCATACCAAGTCGTCGAAGGATTGTTCGCCTGATGATGGCATGTCCCAGTGCTGTCTGTCTCCCCAGTCACATCGCTGTACCAGCCATACCAAGTCGTCGAAGGATTGTTCGCCTGATGATGGCATGTCCCAGTGCTGTCTGTCTCCCAGTCACATCGCTGTACCAGCCATACCAAGTCGTCGAAGGATTGTTCGCCTGATGATGGCATGTCCCAGTGCTGTCTGTCTCCCAGTCACATCGCTGTACCAGCCATACCAAGTCGTCGAAGGATTGTTCGCCTGATGATGGCATGTCCCAGTGCTGTCTGTCTCCCAGTCACATCGCTGTACCAGCCATACCAAGTCGTCGAAGGATTGTTCGCCTGATGATGGCATGTCCTGTCTGTGCTGTCTGTCTCCCAGTCACATCGCTGTACCAGCCATACCAAGTCGTCGAAGTCGTCGGATTGTTCGCCTGATGATGGCATGTCCCAGTGCTGTCTCTCACATCCCAGTCACATCGCTGTACCAGCCATACCAAGTCGTCGAAGGATTGTTCGCCTGATGATGGCATGTCCCAGTGCTGTCTGTCACATCGCTCTGTCTCCCAGTCATGTCATGCGCTGTACCAGCCATACCAAGTCGTCGAAGGATTGTTCGCCTGATGATGGCATGTCCCAGTGCTGTCTGTCTCCCAGTCACATCGCTGTACCAGCCATACCAAGTCGTCGAAGGATTGTTCGCCTGATGATGGCATGTCCCAGTGCTGTCTGTCTCCCAGTCACATCGCTGTACCAGCCATACCAAGTCGTCGAAGGATTGTTCGCCTGATGATGGCATGTCCCAGTGCTGTCTGTCTCCCAGTCACATCGCTGTACCAGCCATACCAAGTCGTCGAAGGATTGTTCGCCTGATGATGGCATGTCCCAGTGCTGTCTGTCTCCCAGTCACATCGCTGTACCAGCCATACCAAGTCGTCGAAGGATTGTTCGCCTGATGATGGCATGTCCCAGTGCTGTCGCCGCAGTCGTCTCCCAGTCACATCGCTCAAAACGGTACCAAAACCAATTGGCCATACCAAGTCGTCGAAGGATTGTTCGCCTGATCAGTTTTGTGAATAACCACGTGGTATCATGACATTGATGTCCCAGTCATGAGTTGTTGTTTTAATGAAGCTGTCAACCCATCAAAGAGGCCGCTGTTTTCTTTGGAACAATATGCATGAGGCGCAGTAACTGACGTGTTTTGATAATCAACATCTGTTCCGAGAAGTGGATGAAGCGGTATCTTTGGCCGGTGTCGTGACTCTTTTATCTTTTTCGATCTTGCTCGGTCTTGGGTCTCAAGGTTCCGGCCTGTTTTTTGGTTAGTACCGTCGTAGCGGTTTATCAATTTGCTGATGGTGGCCTGTCTGCAGTTTATCAATTTGCTGATGGTGGCCTCTCTGCAGTTGAAGGTTCTTGGCCATACTGACTGTCCTGTTTAGTTGCGCTTGTGTAAGTCTTGGCATATTCGAGGTGTTTTTTAGTTACTACACGTTTTTCACGTTTTGAAAAATGCATTTTTGCTGTTTTGTTATCAGTACAATTGCTGCGTTTTGCCGAATGTTTTCTACTTGGGTTCAAACCTGTACCAGCCTTTTCTTTTTTACTTTAAGAGTGATAACTTTCTTTTCCTCGGTAGTTTAGAAATAATATTATGTGCATGTCACATTATGTGTATGTCATTCGAGTATTATGCGCTATTGTCCACCTACAATCTCCATACAGCTGTTAAATGAAATACATCGTCGCGCATTAGCAGGAGCGGATACAGCTTCTTTAGAAAGGGGAGTGCACGCTCTTGAGAAGGGGGTGGGGTCACACTTCATCTACATCTGTTTTCATGAGAGCTTCAATGGTCCTTCAATAAACTTTCAGGACAAAGCCTATGATCATAGTTCTACATTTATACGTGTTGCTATAATGCAAAACTGGACAACACAGTGNCTTCTTACACACCGCTTTCATACCTGCACTTTAATTTACATCATCAGGCAGGAAATTCTAAATCTCTAAATAATTTTATATTCAGGGGTAGATCGGGTACACAACGTTCACTTTTCAGACCAGAAATTGGGCGTCAGAAACACACTCGGCATCCAACGAGTTAAAAAAAAGTAGCCAACGCATATATCCATTTTTAAATCATTAGAAGCGTTCGTACAATCATCGATTAATCTATATGTGCTGTTCTGTCGAAAACACTACTGGTTGTTGTTTTTGATTGTTAGTTGTTTAACACCACTTTTAACAATATTCCATTTTTATCACGATGTCGAGACCAGACAAACCACTGGTTAACATATGCACATCGAGGAAACGATGACATTTATGAACTAAGTCAGCGAGCCCAACCACCCGATCTCGTTAGCAGCCTCTCACGACAACCATCGGTTGCTGCTGACCATCCTAGCCTTTTCAAAAGCAGGTCCGTGAGTATGACTTTAAGTCGCAGTTAGCTATATTCCAGTATAGTTGAATATTCTAGAAGATTGGACGGCATTCGTTGTGCTCATGAAGTGGGCGTAAAGTTGGGGAATCGAACCTG